ATTTTTTAATTTTTTAAATTTATTTTTGTCTTTTTGAGACAGGGTCTCTGCAGTTCAGGCTGGCCTTGAACTCACTGTGTAGCCCAGGCTGGCGTTGAGCTTGTGGCAGTTCTCCTGCTTCAGCCTGCTGAGTGCTGGGGGCATAGGCATGCACCACCATGCCGGCTCCTTTTCACTTTTTAATGTACTTTACTGCACACCATTTTTGTAGCATGTTTATGTGGAATTTGAGTTCCTTCATAATAAAGGCAAAAATGTCACGTTCATGGAGGCAAGTAAAGTTCAATGAGTTTGATTTAAAGAGATAAAGGAAAAAATTAAAAAATGGAATGAATGTAAGAAAATTAAAGGCAAATGAGGAAAAAAAGAAATAAAGCATGAAGAAAAACTAAAAAGTTTTGTTTCTTAAAAAGAAGAGGGCCAGGGATGTAGCTCAGTGACACAAGCACCTGCCTGGCAAGTGCAAGGTCCTGAGTTCAATTCCCAGTAACAAGAAGAAGAAAGGTGAAAGGAAGGTCACTGCTGCTTAGTACTGGAATTTGCCTGATTGCAGCCTTGTGTAAGTGGCTCAGGAATGGAGCACGTAGAAGCACCCTTGTCCCCAAAGAGCCAGTTCCATCACCAGGAGGTCCCTGCTTTATACAGTGCTGGCTTTTGCCCTGTCTGAATGTAAGCTAAGAATTCAGAGCTTGTCTTAAATGCCAGAGACAATTGTAGAAAGTTGCTGTGAAAATGCTCTAGTGTTGAGTTCTGTGCTCCTGCATCTGTGCTTAAAGAGCCTCAGAGCTGGCTTGCTTTAAATGTAAATCCCTCTGCTCGCCCACCCCTTCCTGCTTGCTGTCTGAGTGAGTTTGGGAGCTCTATGGGTACTAAGGTTTAAATTTAGTATCATCACTAACACTAATCTCCTTATCATAGGAATCCTAGATGAAACCTCCAACTTGCTAAAGGTTACTTGATGGCTGCTGCTTTCATTCACCAGTGATTTAAACATTACCGCTTAAGCCTAGAGTAGGAGTAGAGAAAAAAAAAAAAAAAAAGGGACATAAGAACCACAACCTCATGCTTATGCCCTAATAAGTAGCTTGGGGCCAAAACATGACAGAGCTTTTCTTTTTTTTTTTTTTTGGTCCTTTTGAGGTGCACTTTCACTATGCAGTTCAGGCTGGCCTTGAACTCACTTTGTTTTGGTAGCTCATGCTGGCCTTGAACTTGCAACAATTCTCTTGCCCCAGCCTGCTGAGTGCTGGAATCACAAGTGTGCACCACCACGCCCAGCCAACATGAGAGAAGCTTTATAAGTATATGTTAAGTGCAAGAATTAGCAAGCAAATCCGACAATGCTGTTTTAGTTGGGGAGGAAATTTAATACTTAAGGTACTGTTAAGTTTCACTACACCAGTAGAATTGAGTGAGGCACCAAGATAATTTCCTACCTCATTAGAAAAGTCTAGCCTTAGATCTTTTCTTAAAAATTAATTTTATTGAGAAACAAATAGCAACGAGACAGCTTCAAAACTGATTTGTAGGACAGTTTCAATAATTAATACATTGCATATTGTTGCCTTCGTAGTGGTTATTCATAGTACAAGATGCAGACATGATATCCTGTCCACAAACACTATTAGAACAGATCTTTCTATTCATTGAATTAAGAGAGAGTAGCTGTATATCTAGCTTGTTTTGAATATATAGATACAAAATGGTGGTTCATTTGTCTCCTCTTTTTTTGTTTAGTTTTGTCAGAGAAAGGTATTCCATTGTCATTTAAATACTGTTGGTGTGTGAATTCAGCAAAATATTCCAATATAGTTCAGTAGTCCATAATAGTAGTGGGTTTTCCATAGGACTGGCAATGTCAGAAGTTGACTTGAACCTTTTACAGCTCAGCATATTAATATGGCTTTACTTTTTATACTTCATTTTTATACTTTTCTGCTGGATGGTTAAGACCAAGATAAAGCAAGACCTATATAACAAGAAATGTAACTTTTGTATCTGACAAGGTCAGTCAAATCCTCTCAGCATTGACCCTGAAACCCTGTTACCAATGTTTGGATGAGTCATGGCCATTGCTTGACCAGTTTGCTCTCTGTGAAAGCCTGAGAGAATGTTTTCTCTCCATGTGACTCTCTTTGTAGCCTTAGATCTTAAAGGGGAGGGGGAATAAGTAATAAAATTGTCAACCATTTTGTCTTTCATGATTTGCAGCCCCTGCTTAGTGAGAAATTTGGAAGAAACAGACATTCATCTACTTCAGTGGAGGACAGTAATAGTCACAGGCTTCTGTCTAATTCCTCCACAAAGCCCCCAAGCACTGTTTCGCTGACATCCAGCAGGCAGCCTCAGGTGCCATTAAACTCTCCCAGAAGGCGTGTTTCACGGGAGTCCAGAGGCAGTTCACGCCAGAATCACGCTGCATCCGTCTCAGCAAATGGTGAAATTCCTGAGAAATAGACTCTTAGGAAATTTGTGTGTCCTTGAAGTCAATATTTACATCAGTTTTTGTTTGGAAAAGTCTTCTGATATTTAATTGTGATACCCAGAAAAAAAGAATAGTAGCATTTTAAAAAAGCAAGATAAATTGCAAAATCATTTTCCCTGGCTTCACAGATGAAGGATAGTTTGGTGACCTTTTATAGGGATCCTCTAGTAATGCATTTTGGTCTCAGTATTTTAACACACTGTTTACAATAACAACATTCCTTACATATGTTAAAAACAGCGCAAGGAATGCCTGTTTTAGTGCGTGCTTCTTAAAGAAGATACAGTATGTTGTATGCATCTCTTCTGTGGAGCGAGCTCTCGTGATGACTCAGTTCCCTGTCAATTCATATTTGAACTTGTATTCATAGCTTGCATACGTATTTTTTAAATTCAGGAAAAAAAAATGAAAGCTACATTTACTTTTACTTTTAGATGTATAGTTTTAAAGGAAACCTTTTTGGTTTTCTTATAAAAAGTAATCATTTACACTGAAGTATGTGCACTTCCGCGGCGCCGCCCCCTCATGACGTCACGGCTGTGCTGGTGCGGAGTTTCCTGAATGGGCATAAACTGGTTACGTATTAGGATTTCCTTTAGTGATTCTGTATAGACTGGTAGTAATTAAAAACTGCACTGGTGTTAGGTAGAATATTGTCTTCAGTGAATTAAAACTGCTTTGAGCACCTCTGCTGTTTGGACATCTGCAAGGGAGTATGTAACAGCAGTGAGATCAACTTAGAAGGAATATTTAATGTTTGTTTTCATTTTAACTTTATTATGCTTGTAAGTGTTTTCAAGAGTTGTAACAAATTGGTTTCTAATTTTTATTGTAATTGAAATTGATGTAAACAATAATTTCAGGGTTTTGTGGGATTAAAAAAATAAAGCATTTATTCTAAATTGTTCGAATAGATTTTTAATAATTTTTAAATTTAGAATATACTTGGGAAGGTGTGATATTCAAACTCTCCTAGAAGACCATTTTATTTTATGAATAAAGTTTTAATTATAGGCATCCATTTTTACTGCACACAACGTGATTCACAAATATTTCATTTTATTGAGGGAGCAGCTAGTTTCAGTACATTACAATCATTTATTTTTGAATAAACTGGAGGTCTTATTCTTTTAAGTTGTAATATTGAAATTCATATAATCTTCATATAAGTGGACTGTTTATCCATTAATACATTTTCATTGGATTATTTCCAATGTGTAAATTATAATCTAGAGTTTTATAGTAGTTATGTGGGTGACGATATTGTGCCTTAATTTTAAGAAACAGTCTAATTTGAATATTCTGAGAGTAAACTTTACTTACACATGTAAAGAAGATGCAAAACAAGCAGTAGACTAGAATAGTAAATTCTTAAGGATTTTCCTAAGTGGGTCTGTAGCTCTGGGTTTCCAGTGAGAAATTCCAAAGCCATGCTTATTAGCTTCAAAGGGTTTTTTGGGATGATCTAATTTTTTTTCAATATCCTTTTTTGTTAAATACATGAATGTGAAATCTGTATTTAACCTAGGTTATTTCTACTCAAGAGTAAATTTAATTAGAAAATTGCATATTTTTTGGTGCCATGACAATCAAGCCTTGTGGTGGGTATTAATTAGTAATTGTATCATATTATATGTCTTATAAAAGTAATGCTGGGAAATTTAGAAAAAGACAAGAAAATAAAGTACTTTTTTAAAAAGTAGTATAAAGTTTTATCTATACATACAGAGTTGTGGCCTACTTTTTTTGCTTAATGGAGTTGAAAATTTGTTTTTAGCATTTTTACATTATAACTTCAGTAAAATTTATGTAGTATTCCAACATATATATGTGTGATAATTTAGCAGCCAGTTGCCTATTGCTGTATTTTCACTCTGGCCAGGTTTAGGCTCTAATTTTTAATTATCGTTATTTTTTTGAGACAGGATTTTACTTTGTAATGCAAGCTGGCCTTGAACTCATTTTTTTCTTGTTTTTTCAAAGTTTTATTGATAAACATATAGCAATGAGACAGTTTCAAATCCAATCGGAAGTACAGTTTCAACAAATAATACACTGCATATATTCTTCTTAGTGGTTAATTGCTGTACAAGAAGTGGACTTGTGAACCTATTTACAAACACCATTAGAACAAATCATTCTATTCATTAAGAGAATGCAACTATATATCTATCCTAACCACTTGGAATACACAAATACAAAATGGACATTCATCGGTATACCCCATTTTTTCTAAGTTCTGTTATTGAATATTATAGGTGTGTAAACTCAGCAAAATATTCCAAGAGTCCAGTAGCCCATAATAGCATTGGGTCCTCTGTTTAACTTGGCCTTGAACTCATTATGTAGCCCAAGATGGCCCCAATTTCCCTGAAATCTTCCTGCCTCAGCTTCCTGGATGCTGGGATGACAGTATGCACCCCCCCCCGAGGCAGGAAAAATTTAATATCTTACAGGTCAATTTTTGAGTATAAACTTGGAGTTGTTGCCTAGAAGTTGAAACTCTAAATCAGCGTGCATCTACATCTTACACTAATAGCATCAGCTTCCCTACATTCTTATCCAGACTGACCATGAATCTGTTAAACTGATGAGCAAAAAATATTTTAATCACATGTAAATTGAATTACTGAGTGATAATTTTTATTATCAACTATTACCTTTCCTTTTTGATTATCTTATTAACTTATAGGGCATTTTACTTATAAAATTATTAACTCTTAGCTTTCTAATTTTGTTTGTGTATTTTTTTTTTAAATTTAAATGTGTGGCTTATTTTTGTGGCTGAGCCCAGAGGCCGAGGGCAGGATGACACCCCTTTCGATACGTTCAACATGTGAGATACATTCTTTTGTGTGTGTCTGTCGGATGATATTCTGTGATCATCTGCAGAGACAAGGGAAAGGAGAAGTGTTTCATACAAACAGAAGTAAAATCATCAGAAGATCATGACAGTGTGGAATGTCTTGTTTTTATTAAAGTATCCAGTCTGAAAGAGGTAACTTCTAGAAATTAGTTTTGAAATTTCTTCCATTATCACAAAATTCCCTTAAATGTCACATGCCAGCTGAGGTACAGGCGCAGGATACAGCCTTGCAGCGCTCTCCACACTCTTGTCAATGGCAGGCCTGATTTTACTGGAATATTTAAAAAAAAAAAAGCAGTTCTAAGAATGACAATGATATATGTGTGTTTGACAGGTATTTTGAAAAATTTAAAATTATACCCCTTAAATTGTAATTATAAAACTCAAGCAAGTTAAAGCATTACTATTCAGTGAATAAAAAAAATCTTTGACTGACAAATCTTTGGTGACACATCTATTTAAATGTCTGTGTAACCCTACCCAAGATTTACTTACATCCCTAAAGACCTTAGGTACTTTCCTATAAGTTTGCAATTTTTTTGATTTTATTAAATTTTAAAAGCTGTGTTAGAATGTCTTAATTCCAGATTTCTTGTTTTGGTTTTAGACAGGGTCTTGCTATGTAATTCAGGCTGGCCTTGAACTCGCAAGGTAGCCCACTCTGGCCTCAAACTTTTGGCAGTCCTCTTGCCTCTGCCTCCTAAATGTTAGGATTACAGGCATGCACCACCATGCCCAGTTCCTTGTCCTTTTTAAAAGCAATAATTGAAGCATTTTTGGAATCCTTTATCCTGAAAGGAGTTAGAAACAGAGTTATGTTTAAAAATAGATATTTAGTTTTTAAAGCTGGTTTGCCAAATTCAGTGTCCACTTGGCATTGTCTTCCACTTCCTGTCATTGCACTCTGTGGTATGCCACTTTCCTTTGTTCGCCCAATCTTTTCCTTTAGTATTTTAGATCTTAGGAAACTGCTTTTTAATTGCATAGGCAACGTCCAATATTCTGCAATGCCTGATTATTGTATCACCACTAGATGGCAGAATAGAATATCAGATCTGTAAGCTAGACAGGGGCTGCGCTTTGGGGCGCTCTCACTCCATCTTGTGGTGATAACATGTAATTATGTCAAGTACTCTGAATTCCTGATACACCCTCACGTTTCTCATCTTTGTCCTGTTAGGCACCACCCCAGTTATAAGTACACTGGCCTTAGTTATTTGGCTATTAGTAGACAAAAACAGTGACTGCATTAGGATTTGTGTAAGGTTAAAGATGAAAATACTATTGCTATGGGTTTTTGTCTTTTTTACCTAATAATTTGTATTTAACTTTTTAGATGTGCACTGGGCAAGTGAAGTGTCAGATATATGGGTTTAAATGTCTGTGGAACCTGACTTAGCACATAGCAAGGTAGTGAACAGGTCCTGCCTGGAACATGATAAGCTTCAGGTAGATTTTGCTCTTCTAACTAGAATGTTACTACACAGCTAGTCAAATGACAGAGCTGGGATTTGAACTCTATAGTATAGTCTGGAGTCCACCTTCACCAGATTGTTCTTCAGCAGTGTGAATCACTGTAGTGATTCTTAGCTATTGAAGTTGGGATTCAATTCTTATGGTTTAGACTCCATCTTTTATATGACAGATATCTTCTGCAGTAATAACTGGCTTAGTGGAATACTTAGGTGTGGTGGTGCACACCTATAATCCTAGACTCAGGAGGCCGAGGGAGGAGAATCACCTAAGGTTTTTTTTTTTTTTTGTCATCTGAGTTTGAGACTACCCTGGGCTACATAGTGAGTTCAAGGCCAGCCTGCATTTTTGAGACCCTGTCTCCAAAAACAATACATATATACATAGATATATACTTTAGATGGTATGTGATGAATCCTTTTTTGGAGAAAATTATATTTAAGAAGTAATTTTTTTAGTGTATTCAGTATAGGGTCTCACTACACAGCTTGGAAACAGTGATCTTCCTGTTTTCAGCCTCCCCAGTGCTGGAATTACCCAAGTGCGCCACCACACCCAGACTCAGTGGCCGGCTCAGTGCGCTCAGGCTGGGGCTGGCATGGCATGTGGTGCTGGGGATCTAACCCTGGTCCCCGAGCTTGCCTAAGCAGGTACTTAGTCCACTGAGCTATCTTGCCAGCCCTAAGGAGTAATATTCTTGTGGTTAAATGTTTTCCTAGAAGTAGATCCTATAAAATACAAAGTAAATTGAACATTTTGTTCAGAATCTGCTTAGAAATTGTGAATTAGTTCATGTTATTGCCAACTGAATATACTGAACTAGTCAGAAATAATGAGTCTAGTCTTGAAAAGATTTGAAGGAAATATGCCACAAGGTTAATTAAGAATCACACCTGTCTTTACTGTTTGCTCAGTTTCCTGAATTCTTTGCAATGATTCTGTTTTTCCCTGGGCCAATTAAGAAGGAGTTGGTGAATATATTAGCTTCAGTAAATTTAAAAAGTTTCAATATGCCACTTGCTTTCATCCACATGGATCCAAGTCTATAAAATTAAGTGCCATCCTTACAGTGCTC